TTCTGAATTTTTTGCAGGTGCATCGCGCTTGTTTATTTTCATCTGGAGTCGAGAAGCATGGTCCTCCTGAACAATTTTTATCGTAATATGTAGCCAGAATTTAAAAAAACCCACCACATAGATTTTGACGCTATCTATTGTCGTTTTTTGAATTTCTGTCTTGATGGCTCTCTGAAAAGAAACGTTCCGATTACTCACCTGATTTTTTTGAACATTTACCTTCTTTGCAGAAATGGCAGTTGAGAAGAGAACTAGAAGAAGGACAAGCGATTTGAAGGTGAGCATATTTAATATTCAAATGAATATGAAATGAAAATGAAAGGGAAAGAATAGAAATAGATGTTTTCGGGTAACCAAGGCAGCCAAGTTCCGAGATTGATGAAGGCAAAATTTTGCAATAGCATGTGTAGTTTCACCTTTTGCAAAATTATTTTTGCAAGAATCCAAATATAGGGAAAAATTTCTTTAGGGAAAAATAGTCGAACACTGCCAAATCTCAAATAGAGATAGGACGTCATTTGAGAAAATTTGAACCGTTTTTTATCCATACTGATATGCAGAGGATCGTTATCTTCATTTGACATATGTCTATAAATTAGCCGACCAGACCATTCTGGATGTCCGGTCATTTTTTTTCCTTTCCACAGATTTCTTTTTCAATGTAAAATCGATTGTTTTTTCTCTTCAATGTTAAATCCAAGGATGTCATAAAGACTATTTTATTTGACCACATTTTACGGCCAAAAATTCGGGGGGGGGGGGGGGTACAATGATTCGGGGGTACAAGGAGGTACAACTGATTTAGGGGTACGAAATTGGTGATTCGGGGGTACAAAATTCGTGGGTACAAAAATTCGGGGGTACAACGATTCGAGGGTACAATCTACCAATGATTCTGGGGCTTATTTCATTTAGGGGTACAACGTTTGTGATTCGGGGGTACAATTTTTTTGACGAAGTTTCTGAATTCCTGAATTTCAGAGCTTAAAAATCTCTGAATTTTCAGAATTTCAGAACTTTGGAATTTCAGTATTTAGGAATTTGAAAATTTCGGAACTTCAGAATCTGAGAATCTCAGAATCTCAGAATTTCAGAACTTCAAAATCTCAGAATCTCAGAACTTCGGAACTTCAAAATTTCAGAACTTCAGAATCTCAATATTTCTGAACTTTCAATAATTACGGCAGAAATTTTCTTCATTGTCTTCAGAATTCTTAGAATTCGGAATCTGAGGATTTTGGAACTTCAGAATCTGAGAATTTCCAAATTTAAGAATCTCAGAATTTCAGAACTTCAGAATCTCAGAATTTCAGAACTTTGAAATCAAAGAATTTCAGAACTTCAGAATCTCAGAATTTCAGAACTTTGGAACTTCAGTATTTCGGTATCTGAGAATTTCGAACGACAGAAATCACTTCTCATTGTCACATTGTTCTTTTTGACAATAAGCTAAACTTGACAAATTTTACAAACTCAGTTTTTTAATGCTTAATTTAAGTTCAAAACCCAGCCGATACTTTCCTCGATGCCAAATTTTCTCAATTCCTTGTTTTTTTCAATTCTATTTCAATTCCCTTCGTTTCTCAATATTCCTTCGTCTTTTTCTCAATTTTTCTCAATTTTCCTCAATTTTCGCGGTAATTTAAATTTTTCTCCTTTTTAAACAATTTTCTATATCATTGATTAAAGGAAACAATCACAAAT